GAGGGAGGAGGGGCTGGGGGTCAGGACTCCCGGGTCTGAGGGAGGAGGGGCTGGGGGTCAGGACTCCCGGGTCTGAGGGAGGAGGGGTTGGGGGTCAGAACTCCTGGGTCTGAGGGAGGAGGGGTTGAGGGTCCAGATCTTCAGGTCTGCAGGAGGAGGAATGAGATGGAGGGAGGGGGGTCAGGACTCCTGGGTCTGAGGGAGAAGGGGCTGCGGGCGGGGACTCCTGGGTCTGAGGGAGGAGGGGCTGGGGGCGGGGACTCCTGGGTCTGAGGGAGGAGGGGCTGGGGGCCAGGAAATCTGGGTGTGATGGTAGCAGAGCTCAGGAACAGGCCATCCTGTGGGTGATGGTACTGGACAGCCCCAGGGCCCACTTATAACATGATTACCCTTCCCCCACCCCATCCTGCAGGTCTGGCCTAGGCCCAAGGATTGGACCAGGCCCCCTCAGGACCCCATCCCTTCCTGCCCGGACCGTGAATTCATCTCCTTGAAGCCATAACGTCCGAGCTGCGTGGTGCGGGGCAGCCCGGGACCTGCTCCTCTCTCTCACCTCAGCCCCACAGGCTTGAGAGTGGGAGGCAGGCGGGTCCAGCTCCCTGATTAGGGGCAGGGACATTCAGTCTCCACTGTGTCTGTCTTCCTTTCCTCGGGGCTCCCCCTCCAGGCGAGGGGCCATGCATGTCTGGGAGACCCCTGCCCCCTCCAAAACCTTGTCTGTCTATCTATCTGTCCCTTTGCTGTTTGTCCAAGACTTGGTGTCCTGATACTCGTTCTAACCGTGAATGTCAACAGACCAGCCCTCTGTGTTCCCCAGACACACACACACACACACACACACACACACACACACACACACACGTGTTCTGTGTCAACCCTTCTGTTAGCCACACCCCGCGTCTGGCCGATCCTCCCCACTGCTGCTGCTACCAATGCCAGAATAAATACACACCGTGGGTCTCACTCCACCGAGGGCTCATGTTCTCTCCTTTCTTGGACTGAGAAGCTGGGCTGGAACATACTGGCTCTGTGTACAGAGCAATGTCTTTTTCACTTGCCAACCAGGTTACCTTGGGAAAAGTCACTGATCACTTTGAGGCTTGGTTCCTAGAAGTTAGATTAGCCAGGACCATTTTGAGTGTAAGAGACTGAATGTAACCTAAACTACCTTCAGCTACAAACAGTAGAAAGTCTGAGGGGTCTAGAGGACTTCAGGCATGGCTGGATCAAGGTGTTGTGGGAACTCTTTCATCCCTGCTTTTCTCCTTATTGACTTCATTCTCAGGCAAGTCTTTGCAACATGATCACTAGAAGCTCCCAGCTTGTAATGCTGCATCTCCCTTCAGCTGCAAATAACAGAATTCCCAATGAAAAGAGTTATATACTAGATTTTTCCTCTCATACATAGCAGCTCTTTCCAAGACAGACAGTTGGTTCCGCTGCTCAGCAACGTCAGGCGCTGGCTTGGCGTCCCTGAGATGCAGTACAAATTGTCTACATGATGTTCTCACACAGTGCTGGCAAAAGCAGAATGCATGGACTGGGAACCTTTCCTTCCTTGGTCTTCCAGAGGCGTGTTCTCCTGACTTCTCCTTTGCCAGAACCGGCTTCATGGCCACCTGAGTTGCAAAGCAATCTGGGGACAGGAAATATCTGCTATGTCTAATCTGTATTGTGATGTGTGGGCTTTGCCAACAAAGAAAGAATGGGGAGGGAAGACATTGTGGGATTGGAAATGAACAACTGCTCCAATCTCTCTCACAGTGGATGATTTCGAAGGGAGAAGGATCCTCTGTCCCTGGGTCTTCATGTTGTTGTGTTTGTGGCCACGTGTGGCAGAGAAGAACGGCTCCACCCCGTGCCACATCTGGCAGGTCCCCCTCCTGCCCCAACACACAGACACACATAGTGCTGTTATCAAAGATGCCTGAATCAACACACACTGTGGGCCACGCTCCACCTGCAGCTCAGGACCTGAAAACTGTGCTGGAACCAGGGTTTTGAACCGGTTCAGCTCAGTTCAGTCGTGGCCCAGAAAGCAACATTGGAGCAGACCCAAAATTTGGGTGAACTGGAATGATAGCTAGACAGAAAACATTACAAATTGCAGCCCAGTTAGAAACGTAATCTCCCTCTTAGGGCAGTGAGTTAGGCATTTGTCTGCTAACCACAAAGTCAATGGTTCAAACCCACGAACCACTCTGCGGGAGAAAGATGAGACTCCAGTCTCAGAAACCCTTTGGAGCAGTTCTATTCTGCTCTATAGGGTTGCTATAAGCTGAAATTAACTTGATGACATTGGATTTGGTGTTTTGTTTTGTTTTGGGGCATCATATTCGTTGCATAGCAACAAAATCTCTTTTCCTCACCGAGTGGGAAACAGGGTTCCTGGCTCAAAAATGGCTGCCAATATCACCGTTGAATATGTGTTGCTATAATTTCACCAGTAATCCAACCTCCCGCATCAGGCTTCTGAAAGTGCTCACTAGGCCTCTTCTAAATCTCCTATTCCAGGCCTCCAACCCATAAGTTTTTTCCATTTGAAGGTTATCATTCCTGTTTACTCAAATATTGAAAATGCTATTATTTTCAAGTGTTACTTTGTTAACCATGACTGAACCAGTTTGAACCGGTTTGGAGCTCTGACTGAGACATGCTGGGTTTTCAAAGCAGTGAACTTTGGGAAAAGACGGTCAAGCCTGTCCTCCAAGGTGCCTTTAGGTGGGTTTGAACTGCCAGCCATTCAGCCAGTAGTCAAGTGCTTGACCTTTTGGGACACCCGGGGACCGCAAGAAATGCCGAGTGCCAGAAACCACCAAAAGCTAGAAGAAAGACTTGGAACAATTTCTCAGAACCCTCAGAAGGCATCAACATAGTCCATGTCTTGATTTGGATTTCTGAATTCCAAACAGAAGCAACGGTAGTTTAAGCCACAATTTGTGGTATTGTGTTACCCCAGCCCTAGGAAACTAATAGGACTCCTGGTGTGACGCTGTGGGCTAATGCGCTAGACTGCAAGTTCCATTTGAACTGCAAGATCGGCAGTTCAAGTTCGCCAGCTGCTCCTCAGAAACCCTATACAGAGTTCTATGGGTTGGAACCGACTCGATGGCACTTAACGACAACAGGGAACTAATAGACTTCAAGCCTGATGTCTCTGGTGTTTGGATAGTCCTTCTATCACGACCACCTAGAGTTTCTTTTGATCCAGGAACTTCATACTAAATGAAAACTGTTACCACCCTCAACCCACCCTAGTTGATAGTAGTGTTGGGAAGACAGGAGTGTGAGTTACCACAATTTCATTTGATAATGAGAAAGAACCAAAAACAGCTTGGCCATTTGTGTTAGTCAAGATTTTATCAAATGTGACAGAAAGTTGGTCTTACACATTTAAAAAAATAAATAAACGGTGGAGCACGGTGGCTCTGTAGGATAAATACTGGACTGAGAGCCACAAGGTTGGAAGTTCGAGACCAGCAGCCCTTCCAGGGGAGGACGATAAGGCTCTCTGCTCCTGCTAATATTTACAGTTTCAGAAACCCTGTACAGGGTCGCTATGAGTCTGAACTGACTCAACGGTACTTAACAACAACATGGTACAGACACACAATGGAATATTATGTGATGTTAAAAGAATAAGGATGAATCTGTGAACAGCTCATACCATGGATGAACCTGGAGAACATTATGCTGAGCGAAATCACAAAAGGACGAATATTGTATGAGACCACTATTGGAAACTATTGGAAAATGTCAAGAAAAGGTTTTACAGTCAATGACATTTTTTCTTGATGATTTCCAGGGGTTAGAGGAGAAGGATGTGTACATTACCGGCTAGAAGGTAGACACGTGTTAACTTGGGTGAAAGGGAAGGTAATATACAATAAAGAGGGAAGTCAGCAAGCAATGATGGCGACCGAGGAAGACGCAAGACTGCAAGGGTTAGAGGCAATGGAGATAAGAGCTGTTATATACGCAATGCTCCAATAATGGTCATCTTACAGGTAGACTCACTGATAGACACACAGGTGGAACAATGGGAGTGTAGCCACAAATTTAAAAAGAATTTAATTGAAGCATAACATGCAGTTGTTGTTAGGTGCTAGGTCAAGCCTGTTCTAACTCACAGAGACCTGATGTACAACAAAAATACTGCCCTGTCCTCTGTCTTCCTCACGATTGTTGCTTCGTTTGAGCCCATTACTGCAACCACTGTGTGAACCCATCTCATTGAGAGACTATCTCTTTCCCCCCTGACCTTCTACTTAACCAAATGCGATGTCCTTCTCCAGGGACTGGCCTCTCCAGCCACTGGATCATGAACTAGAGCATTACCAACACCCCCAAAACCTACATGCTCATTTGCCATCACTCCTTCACCCCAAAGTTAGCCACTTTCCTGATCTCTCACACAAAAATAGATTCATTTTGCCTATGCTTTGAACTTCATAAGAAGGGAATGCTCTCTCTGAATTCTTAGGAGTCTTGGTGTCTCAGTGGGTTAAGTGTTGGGCTGTTAACCAAGTCAGTGGTTTGAATCCACCAGTTGCTTCATGGGAGAAAGACAAAGCAGAAAGTGTCCGTAAAAATTTACGACCTTGGAAATCCTATGGGGCAGTTCTACTCAGTGTTGCTATGAGTCCGGATTGAATCCGTGACAGTGCATTTTTGTAAAAATCTGACTTCTGTTACTCAATACCATTTGTGAAATATATGTATGTCTTGGCTGGTTGTTGAAGATAGTTCCATGTGTGA